GAAGAAATTAGTTCCAACGAGTAAGAAAAGGATTCGAGTATAAAATTTCTGGTAGCAAAAGGAATTTAAGTTGTGTGGAATAAATGATGGGGGATTTATTAAAATTATAAAATTAGAATTTCGATGGTTTTATCCTGTTTTGTCAACCCCTAGAAGTATGGAATGAGAGTGGTAACGTTAGAGTTTCAGGTATATAGAGAAGCCTACGGCTCTAGCGCTATACTAACTTTAGAATGTCATGTATACTAAAGAATGTTCAATATGGAGACAAGATATAGTGGTTAATAGCTTTGGTAATTGAGATATTTAGGTCAAAGGGAATTCTTTCTTCCTAAAACTTAAACTCTTCTTAATTTCAATGGCGCCACCTACATTTCGCTTTTATTGGATGATTTAAATCCATGGCCTGTGTATTAAATGACAGCTTTACATATGGAAATGCCTGACATACTATGCAACGTATTGTCCACGAATAGTATCGTTTCACTCCTTTCGCGTATTTTTGACAGTTAGGTTTAACTGTCCCATATTAAAAAATATACCTAGAAAGAAAATTAGGCTCTCAATCTCTCACCCATAAATTTGTATTCCTTCCAACCACTCGTAATTAAATAATTTTCAACAAATACTCTAAATCCACAGGAAAACCCTATAAATACAATTTATCATTTGAAAATCCCTACAGACTCGTATCGAAATTATTTCTATAAAATATACCATATTTAAGCTTTCCACTTGCGCATGCAAAAATATAATAATATAAAACTCAAGTCCACCACACTGAAACCTACTACGACTCGTTAAATGACCGGTAGATGAAGAAGTAGAAGATTTTTCGCCAAAAATATATAATGAGAACGTTGAGAAATTAATTATATGCATATCAGGAAGAAAATCGCGACAACACGTGATCGAAGCGATAATGGTGTATATGAAATTTTCAATGCAAATTTCAGAAATGTTCGTTTATGTCTTGACAGATTTACTGTTAAGACACGACGACGTCGTCGAAGGGCACTGGTTTGACCTAGCCCGACAGCCAAGCAGGATGTACTTGCTAGCTGAGCGATTAGCGTTGAAATTAATTGAAGGCTGACGAGGGTCGGGGGCGAGGAAAAAAGTGTCACCTAATTAACGTGAACGGCAGCATCGTGGCTAATCGGTAGGCCGGTTCGCGCCTGGACCCCTAATTGAGATTACTTATTAATGACGAACGATTTGCAGTGGCTGGCTTGGCTACTAGCAGCCAAGGAGAAGAGCGATGGTCTCGTTCGTTTGATAACTTAATTGTCGGCCGGCTCCATGGCGAGCAAATAAAGGATTACACGGCCCTATTGGCCAGCGACCTTTTTCACGAATTCTCCGATTCAATGGACCTACGAACGAACACTGGAGGATTAACTCGATGCCACGACGATTCTCATTGAAACCTCGCGTTTAAATCGAAATTACCGGGAAACCGAGGTAAATTGCAGCGAAACGGGAAAATTATAGCTGCGATCGCAGCAATGATTGCTATTAATTATATTGTGATTGATCGAATGTTGATGAGGAACAGATTGGAAATTTATTAAGTTTAATGTACCGAGTTAAGTGATTTAATGCGTAATTCGTTATAGGAGGATTAAATATTGTGGTATTTTATGCGTAGCTGTTATTTAATAACTCGTGCTTGTATCAGATAAATTGTGTATTTTCTTAATATTTTATTAATACATTTTCATTAACGCAGGAGCTACTGACGTTTTAATGTGTACCTAAAAATAGTTTGCAGAGATAATAGAAATTTTAGAAGATGAAGGTATAACTATATTTACATATCAACAAGTGTCAATATTAATTTTAATAAAGGCAGGTATATTCTTTTCCGTAATTATAAGAACGAAAAATAACAATAAAGTTTTGAGAATAATGTAATATAATTTTCTGATATTATTTAGAACACCTAACTCTAATATTTTGAGATATTCATTGAAGTATGCTATAAATAACAATCTACTTGCAATCCTTACTTTCATAACTAATAAAAATATTCTGTAATATTATATAGGGTTCTATAAAAATATCATAATATCAAAACTATTGAAACAATTTCCTACGTCAATTTTCAGTCCCTAGTTAGTTATAAATTAACTAATTTTTAAAATAACTCGATATAATGTGGTATTTCGCATATAATAAAGTCAAGGAATGTGAAATGATGTCATGGTTTGAATTGTTTAATAAAACATGATAACAAACATACGAAAAACGAAGGAATTGCTAACGGATTTGCTATAATTACGTTGTAAAATAAGAATAAGTCGAGGATCGGTGTAATCATCAGATATTGACACTCGATTGCGAAATGTTCAACGAACCTGCCGAAAGGAGATTAATGTCGATACAAAATTAAATTTATCATTCTACGAAGTTTATTTCGATTTTGTTCCATCAGAATGAACGAATCATCAGTTCTTCGTATCAGTGTACCACGAGTATTAATTTTATCTCGACATACTTTTTCTTTCAAATTTCTCCAGGGATAAAATTCTAGTAGCGTGAGATCAGGCGATCATGAAGGCCAAAGCATTGTTCTCTTATATCTCACATTTTTCTTACTACTCTTTAATAAAGCTCCGAACAACCTACGTTTATATATCTTCCCTTATTTATATCTCTCTTATTTACACATTATGATCACATACTTCAGTCGCTAAAAATTGAGGCACCCTGTATAGGCAAATTGAAAATATGGGAAAATATGTCAGAAGTATATACAAATTATACAGTATAATATAAATATTATTATTACAATTATATTCTATAATAATATAGATTACCGTACATAAATTGCGACAAATCTCATTGGGAATATTTATCAGAAATACATACAATTAATATGATGTACTATTATACACAAATTATTAATAAATTGTGTATCCCTGAAATTCTTTCTACGTGGTAAATCAGTACCAAGTAAAAACTAGTAAAGCGATTGATTTTCTAGAAAGTATAAGAAATTGCATTAAACTGGAGTTAAAAGAATAAAAAAATACTTTAAAGCACTAAACTGCTTTCCATAATGTTTCTTCATTTTTAAAGGTTTCCTGGGTTTGAGGATTAAAATAAGTAGAACGTACTAAAAAGCTATTCAAATTAACCAATTTGAAGAAAACCGTGTTCAAAAAACACGTTAAAGAAAATCGAGCAAGAAATGTACTATACAAAAAGAGTCCCTTATTTATTAATATTATACGTATAATTATAAACCTGCCTAAAGTATAACAAAAACATAAAAGAACAAGAACACGGTATAAAATATATCCAGTCCAAGGAAAATGAAATAAAAAGTTTGTAATTAAAAAATACGAAAATAGAAATACTACACAAACCACCAGACAGGGTTATTAATGACACCGCATATAAAACCATTAATAAACCGTCACGAATAGAAGGAAACGAGTGCGATAAAGTAAATAGCGAACAATTTTGTCGCGTGAAATGTAAGAATAAGCAACGTAATTTGGCCGTGAGAAAATTAGGAATAAAGTAGGCCTCTTTCCATGACGCGATATCTACTTCGTTATTTCTTAGCGGATCGCGAGTTCTCGGCGAATGACGTCTTAATTTCAGATAAAATATCAGCCGCGAGAAAAGTACCGGGATCGTGATAAACGAGGGGACGGAGGGATTTCAAAAGTACCTAATGAGATTCTATTGTAGCACCGCGGGAAATTATTCGGGCCGTTCCATTAATTTCCTGTTATCTGGTAAACGATACAACAATAGAGGGAGGAAGAAATGTTGCAGCGGAGAAACTGGGAAAAAATTACACCGTTACCGGCCACGTAAGAAGGCGGAGGAAATTTTCTTTGTCGAAATGAAATACGTAAGGGAGTAAAGTACACCTGCACAGGATGCCCCGTGCGTGCTGCACCTTTGTGATTCGAATGCTTACGTAGTTTTAACGAGGATGGAACGTTCGTTCAGGCGAGAATCGCTGCGAAGGAAAGCGATGTATATTTTCTTTCAATTTATGCACGCCAAGGAAAGATAAGGATGTAGAATATAAAGACGCGTTTAATTACTACAATAATTAAGAGGGAAAAAATTTGATTTCGAATGAAATTCGTATCTATTAAAAATTGAATACGAGCTCACGTGATTTTATTTCTAATATAATTAATACAAATTTTTTATTCATATTAATCCTAATTTTTTTTTCAACCTTTTTTACTACGGTAACGAGCCGAACTGGTCACGAATTCTTGACGAATATTAGATTTGTATATGCTATTGTACACTTGTCATACGACCAAAATTATATTTAACGAGTTTCAACGTGACCAAAGTTCGACGAAATTCTAAAATTGTTGTATAACTTTATCGTGAATGGACCATAGGTATAGTGGTCACCTAAAATTAACACTTTCGCCTACAATACTATGTGAAACTCGTGGTACCGAAAATCGTGCCAAGCACGAGCATCGTGGATGAAAGGCGAGGTTTGTAGATAGAACTCAACGTAAACAAGACGAGTCAGGTTCAGTCAGACCCGTGGTTAATTTTCGCCGACGTCTTTCTGTCTCAGCTACGTGTTATTCTTGAAATGGCTCGACGCATGACCGACTTTGTTGTTGACTATGGCACGCGCCATCGGAACGTAGATCGTAGGGCGAGGGGTTACATACTCTTCCAATACGTCATTTCTCAGAATTAAATCATAGTTCAAACCTCCTTTCTCTAAAATATTCTATCTTCGCGTATTCTACGCTACCAACTTTTCAACGGACATAAACATTAACTAAAAGCAACGTTCCGTACGTTTACCTATTTTATTTCACGCTCGGGTGTACCATTTCAAATATCCCGCCCCGCGATCCGGCCCGCGAAAATAAACATCACACGTGGAATAGGGAATACGCGTTATTACGAGCGCAGTACGATACAACGTACCGTTGAAAGCTACGTCTTTCGAGACCGGTAAATTAAACGCCTCATTCCCGCTAAAAACATACCTGCTGAAACAATGCGCCGGGGCGTCTGGCTGAAACGGAAGCCCGCAACCAGCCATAGACGGAAGCTCGTGTACGGCGGAGAGACGCGTAATGCGATCTCCCGCGCCACAGCCGGTCCCGTTCCGAAGTACGCACTGCGCGCGCACGCGAGAGAGACAGAACGAGGTGGCGCGTGGTGGGGATAGGCAGCGTCACGTGGTTGCGAGAGAGACCGAAACTGTGAGTGGTGGGGATAGGCAGTGTTACGCGGACGCGATTCAAGGTGGAAATTGAAATGCACGAGATCGGTGGCGCGCTTAGAATGGAGGTCACGCGTGGCTAGGAGGATGCAGCCGCAAATTATAGGATGATTATAAATTAATGCATTAGTATCAGGACGTAGCAGGCGTCAGAGGTGCGAGTGTCGGGCGGCGTTATCACGTTAGTCGCGAGCGAGCGAGCAAAATAATTAGAACGAGCCGGCTCTGTGTATATAGACTACATAGACGTAAGCCAGCCGGGAAAGCCTATTTCCGACTAAACGGATAACCCCCCAACGGGTATTAATCGCCAGGCGAGTAGAGACGATGCTTAAGGTGACGGGACGGCGTCGAATCCGAGATGACTCGCGATTTCTTCAAAATTGACCTTAATCCGTGTCCGTCTGGCGCTGGCCTCGCGCGCCGACGTTAATTAAATTTGCGCGGACAGTCGTTCCATTGGAGAGGGGAGTCGAGACGGGGTGGAAAAGCTCGAGTCGCCGATTTAACGGTTAGATCGGAGCTCGTTACGAGAGGCCGGTCGTAATTTATTTTTCTAAGCTTCGTTAGGGGTAGGTCTGGAAAGAGTTTCGTTTCCCAGGGGAAAGATCTCGTCTGTACCACGACAATTTCAAAGATATTTTCTGAAATGATAGTGGGGCATATTGCTAAATACGCCTGTTGAATATTAGCCGCAGTTATTCGATGGTTTCATAGATATAATTAATTAAAGATGCATGCTATCATTTCAATCAGTGTGGTATAGTTGGGGCCCTTCCCTTGTTAGAGCACATGGACGTTTCATTTTCATTTTGTTTCTGGGGTGGACATTGTTCGAATAATTTCTGATACATTGATAGAAATTGAAGGAATTTTTTGTATATTTAAAATAATATATTTCTAACGTTGTCAACGAACGTTGAATAAATTTGCAGTAAGTCTTTTGGAAAGGGTGTGGACTTTTAGGTTTAAAAGAAAATCGTTTTTAAGTAAAACGTACTGAAAGTCTGGAGACCGAATTTATCAAACTTTGAACACTTATTTCAGGTAGCCTTCAAGATTTTTAATATTTTACTTGTTTCAATTTGAGAGATATAAAACTTTATACTTCGATAGCATTAAAAGTTCCAGAAGTTTTATCCTACGGGCTAAAAATCATAGTTTGTACGAAGTGCAAAAAGGAAGATTAGTATTATCGTAAAATTCTTTAATATTTTCCTGCTTCTTCGTTAGAAAGTTATTATTACGTATAAGATCTCGTACTGAAACTGATTTAAGCAATTCTAAATATTATAATTGTAGTCTAAAAAATCCTTCATGAAATCCTGTATAATGATAACATTAGATCGAGGAAATACAACTTCCCGAAAATTTCAAATTAGCAAATGTATATCGTGTCTTAAATTTCATCAATTATTGAAACTCACGTTGAGAAAATAAAATTTATCAGAACTTAGTTATTCAACGCCATAAACCCTCTATAAACTCATGTAACTCTTCTACGAGTTTAAATTTGGAGTACGTGTACGTTAAAAGCTGCAGAAAGTACAAATTTAGCATTTGAGGAAGCTTATGTAAATGTTAGGATAGTTGAACGTTAGTTCGTAAGATTCAAATCTTCTGATTCCTCGGCCTTGTGGCTAGAAGCAGGAAAATGCCATCGACAATAACGTTTTCGGAGATATAACCGCAAATAATCCACGTCAAATAGAATACAGGATAGAATTTCAAATGAGGGTACTCTGTTCTGCCATTATTCACTTAGGCAAAACAAGAATAACAAAGAAAGTGAATAAACAGATGACAAGCATGTGGAATAGAAAAAGGAAGTATTCACCTTGGTGAAAGATAAATGACAGATAAACAAAGCCTCGCGTGTTCCAAATAATCGTACAAAAATTAAAAAATTAAAAATATAAAAATTTATCCAAACCCTTATAGAATTCTTATTCGATAAATAATCAATCTAGAACTTTTCACTTTTAACTCTCGATAAACTTTATAATTTTAATTTACAATGTTCGGAAAAGCTATAAAAATTATTTGCGGATTTTTAAAAAATTTATTCCCAGGAAGATCTACAAGGCGCGAATGACAATTAGAACACGGAAAGAATATTTCTATAGTAAGAGCTAATTATTAAATAATTTGAAATACAATTATTAAAAGTTACAGTATATATAGAATTATTTGAATGAATATGAAGAAATGAATCTGAGGAGTCATTCTGAAACTAAAAATTATCGAAAATAACACAATTCTTATGACGAAGTATTCCACGATCTGCTGTACTAAACTTTACCCTTGAAGACCAGATATTCCCATTCATTCGGCGCAAACCCGTCGTCCCTCGAAATCACCGAATCCATCAAAGCAGGATTCACGTGGCACGTACGACAGACTTTCCATTGCCGAGTCCCATGCGAAACGTTGGAAAGCACCCTGGCGTTTCGGAAACTCGCGCCACCCCCGCAGTAACAGAAGGCGAAACGAGATTTAGGAAAATTCGATCGGCCGATCGAGACGTTTCTCCCACTGGCGGCTAACAAGCAATGCCAGCGACAAAGTGTAGCGGAAATTGCGCCTCGATCGTTGAATATTCGACGCGGTTTCCGGGACGCCCTCGACCAAGATGACGCCGGTGCTCGAAGCCTGGCGTCGTGGAAACGCTGGAAAAATCTCGTTACAGCGACGTGGCCGCGTTTTACGACGGCATAGTCGAACAGCTCCCCGGAGTTTCGCGGTCAGGAGCTGCGAGAAACCATTTTATCACCTCGAAAGCTTTCGCCGCGATGTTTACGAGGCGGAAAAGCACGGCGCATTTCCAACGGTGCTTTCGCACAGGCCCGAGCCGCGTTTAGCCGCGAAACAATCGTCACAAGGCTGAACCTACGTGCTCCATCCGCGACGCCATGGGACGACCACGGTATTTATGGGGACACGCGATCGTTTTTCGAACCACGATTGCCTGCGTCCTCACGATGGCGTTTATCTGCGATTGTCGGGAGAATCGTTAAGGAAGGTAGAGATTCACTGCTCGCTGGGTTATCCGTGTGGTTTCTTCGCGATCTCCACAGTGTTTTCGCCTAATGTCGGCAGATGTGTTCTTCTTACTTCGTGCTATGTCTCATCGGTTTTTATTCCTCTCGACGCGTGTTTTAATATTTATGAGTGTTTCCCGGCAGCCGGGATCTTGGCGAACTTCATTTCCGTTGAAAACACGGTGATAGTTACGTGTGATGTATCGTGTCTCGATTCGTTAGTTGAAGGTTTACCTTTTTCTACGGTGAGATTGTTATTTGGGAGATGATGGTCAGTTTCGTAATGTAATAGCACAGTAGAATGCCCGTTGTCTGGATTATTTGAGTGGATAGACAAGTGTTCGTATGACAGAATTTGTGTTTGATATTTCACTATATAATAAAAGTAAATGTAATTTTCTTGTACGAATGAAGTACAAACTTGAAAGGAGAGATCTTTATCTTCTTTTTGATAAAATGGAATAGTTGAGCTTGAAGCACCATATTTTTATGTCAAATTTATTGTATGATACTTATACTTAAGTTCCTTAATTATGTTACATCCTATTTCGAATGTCAATGCTACTCAATTTTGTCTTATATTCGTTATTTTATTTATTTATTTATTTATGTACTTAACATTATTATGCTACTATGTAATTGTTGTTTTTATTATTACCATATACTCATAGTATAGTAATATTATACTATGCCAATATACTATATCAGAGTGCATAAAGAGAATGAACACTTTGTATTTATATATATATGTATACCTATTATTGTAATAGAAAATTTGAATAAAATATTCACATAACATATGTACTACTGTAATGTGATTCGTGTGAAAAAGTAACAAGATATTAATTAATAATTTTAGATTATTTAGAATAACGAAAAGAATGTAAAAGATGTAAAATTTTCATAGCTTTTGTTATAAATAAAATTTTAGGAGATATACATACATATGTATACATAAGAATGCTTTCTTCTTTCGTCGTTCTCATATCCTTTGCTATGTACAAAACCCTATGACGTGGAAGCCAGTGATGTCGAATTTTGCGGAATGCTGGCTGTCGTCTCCTATAATTTGGAATCGTCGCTATCGGGTTATTACCGCCCCTGTCGTCGATGCAGCGTAATGTGATCGTGGTCTTTTTTGCATATCGATTTCTGCATCGAGAAACAGCAAAATCCATTGCTTAACTTCGGATATCCTTGTAACAACGCGTATCTTCCGCCATATTAGTATCCCGGTCATCTTTTCCATATTTAAACACCATGAATCCTTAAAATATGATTTTACAAGAATCCCACGTCTGATGATATTTTATTCACGCTATTAATATATTGCGAAATGTAAAAATATTGTTTTCCTCCCTTAAATATGTTATTATTCTATCAATGCCTCGTGATTAAGTTACGTAAGATTAATATCGGATATGAATAATTACCATTGACAAGAGTCAACGACAAAAATTGAAATATCAGAGACAATTGAGTTCAATTAAGCTTGAAATTATCAGTCATCAACCAGAGTCGCTTAGATCTACAATCAATAGCCAGCATAGTTACTCCGAACTAAGAATAATTGACATTCTATAAACGACTGTAAAACTAATAATAAAAATTAATAAAAATGAAAATGAAGTTTGAAACGAAATATTTAACACGTTGGGTGCCACACCTGAGCTGATGAAAATTGATAGCTGGTGGAAACTGATACAAAAGCATTGGTTTTCATCACCATTTCATCAACCAAATACCCATGAAAGCAGCAAACAAAATTTTGTTCAAGCGAAAATAATAATT